CTGGGTTCTGGGGGCATGCAGTCTGGGGTGCTGGCGCAGGTGCTCTTTTGGGATGCTGCTTGGGTGTGCTGTTTGAGGGGATTGTTGCGAGATTGACAGCCGGGTGCTCTGGGAGGGCTGTTTGGGGGTGCTGTTCCTGGGGGACGGTGCGGGCGCATTTTTGCGAGATTGATGGCAGGCATGCAGTTTGGGGTGCTGGTGCAGGTCATGTATTGGGCGGTCTGGTTGCGAGATTGACGGCAGGGTGCCAGGGGGCGGGCAGTTTGGGGATTCTTGTGGCAGGTGCTGTGTTGGGATGAGTGTTGGGGGTGCTGTTTGCTGGTGCTGGTGATGGTGCGGTTGATTGTTTGGGGCGCTCTTCGGGGGGTGCTGTTAGAGGTGCTGGTGTTCAATCGTTGGCATTTTCTTTTGTATTTGGGGTCTATGCCGGTGTAATATTTTTTGGTTCTCTCGAGTTTGACATTTCGTTCTTCTGGCCTTATGGATGATCTTTTTCGACTTGCTTCTTCGTCTCCGCCTGCATGACAAACGCTGCTAAAAGCAGTGTTTTTCAAGCGCGTATTACACAATTCTAAAACAACAGCTGCGGGCTGTTGCAAACTTTTCACAATTGCACAATGCCAATCCAAAACGGAATCCGTTTTGCAACACATGCGTTTTTACACGTTTTTTAGGCCGTTGGATTGGAAGCCATGGCTGGCAGGACCTGTACAGCCCGAGCCTGAGTCGCGGCTCGTGATGCGGTTAGACGGCGCTTGAACAAGGCACGCTGGTGGGCGCAGTCTCGGGGATGGCTCTCAGCGATGATGGCCAAACGCTCTTCTGGTCAGAGCCGCATCGGGCCACCTGGATCTGGCTCTGGCAGATGGCCCGCGGGCTCGAGCTTTCGCTCGTAGGTTGGCCGCTCGATCCAAGGTTAGGCAAGCCTCTTTGGAGAATGGCACGGTGAGGACGTGACGTTCTGGTGCTTGCAGTGTTGCCTTTGCTTGAGAGTGTCTCTCAAAATTTGGCAAGGACCATCGTCGGGGATTTGGTGGCTGGCAACTGCGTGCCGCCGTTCAACTTGGGCGACGTTTGCGGGGACGGCCAAGTCGGCACAGCTGCCAGGCAGGGCTCGCAAAAACTATTAAAACAAGCTGAACTGATTTGTTCGATCTGTCTCCGTATTCTCAGATGTTCTTTCAGGTCCGTGGGTTTACTCTGCGAGGCTGAATGACCCTCGAGGCTTGTCAGTGTGCCGGGGAGAACTGCTCATCGCTGATTACCTGTGCCTTGGCAGAGTTGGACGTGGCTTCTTGGCTGGGTGCCATGGCTTCCACTGTCAGGAACAGTCGAATCCGTGCCTACAACCTGGAGACAGGCATCATCACAACGAAGGCGGGCACCACCCACGGCTACGCCGGTGCAAGACTCAGCTCCAGAGCCTTGCTGGCTGACCACTCAGCGCCGGTGTGTCACTGTGTGTCTCTGTTCGGTGCACGGACGGGGAGCCTGAGGCGATGGCGGGTCGCCACACCAGGCGCAGCTTAGCGGCCCCCTGGGCGTCGCCTGCGACGACCTGCGAGGCGAGAGAATGGGGCGAGAATGGGATACGAGACACAGGTGCGTTAAGAGCGTGGACACGTTGAGGGGGCTCTTCAGGCTACTGGATTGCGGACACTGGCAACTCCGCCATCCGCGGAGTCTGCCAGCCAAGTCTTTGCGCTGAGTGCATTTTGCGGAGGGGACACAAAGAGTCTTCACACTGGGCCCAACGAACTGGGTTGCATGAATATTAGCGTGAGAGTTCCAGATAAGTTCAGGTTCATGTTTCCCAACTGAGGTGCGCGTCGCTGAGGACATGTCAGACGTCATTACCACTGTGGTAGGTGGCTTGGGTCAGGCTTGGACGCTTGATACTCCGCGTTGGGCAGAAATGACGGTTCTATGTCCCTTGACCACTGGCCTTTCCCGATGGATCTATGGCTGAGCTTACTTCCCAAGCATCGGAATGCTTGTTCAAGTATTTCGTCCAGCCCAACCCGTTTATACAAAGTAATGTCCAAATTGATGAACTGAATTAACTTGCCCAAATGACAGACTGAGCCTGAACACGGAACTGCGCACGCTGGACCCGGGCCGTAACAGGATTCTCCCTAAACCCGGATGCGTGTTTCATTCGCAGGGCCTGGCGCCTCCGGGTACCTGGAACAACCAAGCGCAGCTGGACCACCCGGCGCAGCTGGCGAAGCTCGGCGAGTCGCGTCATGCCGCATGTCGCCATGGCGAGTGACATCAACGGCCTCCAATCTCAAGGGGCACGCAGGTGATTGGTTTGCCAACCGCATGTGCACTGTGGCTGGCCCTGCTTGTCCAAAGGGCCCTTGCGACTTGAAGGGCTGTGGGTCAGGCAGATCTTCGCAACTTGAACAGCCTGGCTGCGGTAGCCCCTCGAGTCATCTAAGGATGTCGGAGACAACGTGTGAAGCCTAGAGGTGGTTGGGGTGGACGTTGTTAGACTGGACCAGTTGTATTGGCCAATGGGTTTTGGCTCCCAGATACACCAAGGTGGGGTGCACCCCGCTCTCTGGTCTACATAGAGCAGTCGAACGCACCTCGCCGTGAGAGCTTGAAATGGCCGCCTTTCCGAACGAATCCAAAACCCACCGATTCGTTGACCCAGCGGTGGATAACTCAATGCCCGGCGAGGCCGTGGCCCGCTTCTTGCCGCTGGGGACGAGGGTCATGGAGGGTGCGGTGCAGGAGGTCATCGGCACGGGCGCGCAAGGCCGGCCGAGTCCTGTTGGGCGGACTTTCTGGCCGAAATTGGACTGAAGCACGTTGTAAGACAGTACGAGCTTTGTCTTCGGGCGAAACCCAGGCGGTTACCTTTCTGGATGTGGACACAGCAGAAATATTAGCTCTCGTGGCCTTTAGCGTCCGAGTCAGGCCATCGGGTGACAGCCTCCAACAACAACATCGAGCTGAACAATCCAGAAGGCCTTAGTGTAAAGGGTGGTTTCAGGTCCAAAGTGAAACACATTCTGAGCGTCCCAAATGCAAAGTGCAGGAATCGCCGTGCACAGCTCCACCGTCTTCGTGGCGGACACTCAGAACCACCGCATCATCATGGCGCGGCTTCGTGGCGTCGCTTCGAGTCGGGGGGCTTCGGAGTGTCCCCGAAGGTTCCCATTTTGGAGTACGAGCCGCTGGGCTGCTTCAAGGCGGGGATGTGGGTTCAATCCATTTCCCGCAAGCGTTTCAAGCATCCCCTGTGTGTCTGCGTGTGTTGTGCGGCATGTGGCCAAGGAGATCACCAACGAGGGGGATGGGACCTTGGTGCCGTCCCTGGAAGGCGACCTGGAGGCTGGTCTCAGTCCTGGCCTCCAGTGTAGCCGGCGGCCCAGCGATTCACTCGCTTCAGAAGCCACACTCCTGAACCTGGCCGCTCATACAAGGCGAAACCGTTCTGAACGAGCCGAACGCTCCTCTTCTGCAGATGGAATAGGTGTGATAGGTGTGATAGGTGTGATAGGCATGTGAGGAACCATGAGGCACCATGAGGTACAATGACGCATATCAACACCGTAGACAGTGGCTCTTGGCGTTTGCCTTTGCCTTTCTGCCCCCCCCCCCCCCCACAGGCTGTAGCGCGCTGCGCCGCGGCCACGCTTCGGAAGGTGGGCCTCCGCGTTCGATTTGGGCGTTTGCTTTGCCATCTCGGTCACTGCGCTTGTTCGTTTGCGGATGTTTTGCGGGGGGCTTGGATCTCATCGTCTCATGTTGCAAAACATGTGGGTGGCTCCGAGATTTAATCGCTGCCTTCGGCTCAAGGATCCAGAAGGATCCACCCAGGCCTGCTTAGCCTGTGATATCTACATCCACGTCCGCCCGCAGGTTTTTCTGCGGTGGGAGGAACCGGGCCTGAGGCCGATCCAGACTCAAAGACATCGACCCAGCAACCCAGCGGCTCAGCTCACCGACCCTTTGAAGCCGCAAAAAACGGCACTCGGGCCCGGTTCTCCAACCCGCTCCATGAGCAAGAGCGACTTCGATTAATCATGGCACTGCGGCTCCTGTGCAGGCCCAAATTGGAGGATGCGCGTTTGCGCTGGAAGACCGGTTTCAGATTCTTCATTTGTTTTGGCAGGCTTTGAGCAAGCAGGGAGTACTTGGACGAAGAAAGGAAAGAGAGAGAGAGAGAGAGAGTGAGAGCGAGCGAGGAAAAAGAGAGAAGAAGAGACAGAAAACCAGACAGAGAGAGAGAGAGAGGGAGAAAGAGAGAGAGAAAGACAGAAAGAAAGAAAGAAAGAAAGAAAGAAAGAAAGAAAGAAAGAAAGAAAGAAAGAAAGAAAGAAAGAAAGAAAGAAAGAAAGCAAGAAAGAAAGAAAGAAAGCAAGAAAGAAAGAAAGAAAGAAAGAAAGACAGAAAGAAAGAAAGAAAGAAATAAATAAATAAAGAAAGACATAAAGAAAGAAAGAAACAACGAATCAAAGAAACAAACAAAAAAGAAACACAGAAGATAACTAAATAAATACATAAACAAAGAAACAAAGAAACAAAGAATCAAAGAAACAAAGAACAAGGAAACAAAGAAACAAAGAAACAAAGAAACAACGAAACAAAGAAACAAAGACACAAAGAAACAAAGAAACAAAGAAACAAAGAAACAAAGAAACAAAGAAACAACGAATCAAAGAAGCAAACAAACAAAGAAACACAGAAGATAAATACATAAATACAGAAAGAAAGAAAGAAAGAAACAACGAAACAAAAAAACAAAGACACAAAGAACCAAAGTTTCCGTGTTTCTGTGTTTCTTTGTTTCTTTGTTTCTTTGGTTCGTTGTGTCTGTGTTTCTTTGTTTCTTTGTTTCTTTCTTTCTTTCTTTCTTTCTGTATTTATTTATTTATCTTCTGTGTTTCTTGGTTTCTTTGTTTCTTTGTTTCTTTCGAAAGAAAGACAGAAAGAAGGAAGGGAGGAAGAAAGAAAGAAAGAAAGAAAGAAAGAAAGAAAGAAAGAAAGAAAGAAAAAATGAAAGAAATAAATACACTAAGAAAGGCATATAGAAATAAAGAACGACATAATAAAGAAATCAATACACAATAAAGAAAGAAATAAAGAGAGAAATCAAGAAAGAAATACATAAAGAAGGACAGAAGGACAGACAGAAATCAGTAAAGAAAGAAAGACATAAAGAAATAAAGAACGGAATAAATACAGAAGGAAAGACAATAATTGTAAACGCTTCGCGTTGCCCGCCTCGGCCCAGCCTAGTTTGAGGGAAGGGTCAGGAACACCGAAATCCAGTGTTGGGAAGGTCCGAATACCTGAAGCTGGCTCCAGACAAGTCAGACAAGCCGGCCTCGCCTGGTTGGGCTGGGCCACAGGCTAGTCTCAGACACAGCAGATAAGCCTGCGCTGGGCCTGAAGCTAGTCTCGGGCAGCTTGGCTGGACCTTGCTTGCGTGGGTTGTTGGTTGAGCTGGGCCTGAAGCTAGTTTACGGCGGGCTGGGCAGCCGCACTGAGGGGGCTGGGCTATGGCTGGGCTGGGCCTGAGGCCAGCTTCAGACACGTCAGACAGGCCTGGCCAGCAGGCAGACTGGGCTGGTGAGGCCCAGTCTCGGCGCCAGATAGGCTGAGGCCTGCGAGTCTCAAACAGGGTGGGCTTGGGTGGGGTTGGCTTAGGCGGGTTGCTGGTTGGGCTGGGCCTGGCTGCGAAGCCATGGGTGGGTTGCTGGCTGCTGGGCAGCCGGACTACGCTGTTGGTTGCGCCTGGAACTTCGGCTGGGCGGGCTGGGCTGAGCTGTGCTTGGGCGGGTCGCTGGATGGGCTGAGGCTGGGTGGCGAGTTGCTGGCTGGGCTGGGCCTGAGGCCAGTCTCAGACATGTGAGACTGGTCGTTGGCCTGAGGCCAGTCTCAGACACGTTAGACAAACCTGACCTTGGCACGCTGGGCTGAGCCTTGGTGGGCTGCGGGGCCTGGGCTGGGCAGGCTATGGGTGGGTTGCTGGCTGCCGGGCAGCCGGACACTGGTTGCGCCTGGAACTTGGGCTGGGCGGGCTGGGCTGGCTGGGCTGGGCCTGAGGCCAGTCGCAGACACGTAAGACACGCCAGCAGGCGGGCTGAGGGACTGGCCTGAGGCTAGTCCCGAAGGGGCTGGGCCTGCTGGATGACTTGGGAGGAGGTCAAGGCGGTGGGCTGGGCTGACAGGCCTGGTTGGGCTGGGCCTGAGCCTAGTCTCAGACACGTCAGACAGGCCTGGCCACCAGGAGGTCATGCTTTCCAGGACAAAAAAGCAGTTTTAGTGATTTTCCACATTTTCGACAAAAATGGACCCATGGAGCTGGACGCCGACGAACCCCGAAAATTTCAAGGCCCGCCGGACAGGATTTTGGGGCCAGCCGACATGGGTGGGGCTTTGGAGAAGAGATCTGACCTTGGCCCCTTTCAACCGAGGCGAATAAAGAAACCATGAATAATGAAAGAAAGAAAGAAACAGAAAGAAAGAAACATGAAAGGACATAAAGAAATAAAGACATACATGAATACAGAAATAAAGAAACAAAGAAAGACAGAAAGAAAGAAATAAAGAAAGCAAGAAAGATAAAGAGAGAAATAAAGAGAGAGAGAGAGAGAGAGAGAGAGAGAGAGAGAGAGAGAGAGAGAGAGAGAGAGAGAGAGAGAGAGAGAGAGAGAGAGAGAGAGAGAGAGAGAGAGAGAGAGAGAGAGAGAGAGAGAGGGAAGGAGAGAGGGAGGGAGGGAGGGAGGGAGGGAGGGAGAGGGGGAGGGAGGGAGCACAACCTTTCTTGTCAGGGCGAGCTTTTGCCTCTCTGATTTGGGAGCCAACGGATTTGCTTCTCAGCCTGTTTGCGGTGTGGCCAATTGGGAGTTTCTCAAAATGCTGGACCCCCTTTCGTTCGTACAAAGGGAAACCAAAAGGGCATCAAGCCTGACTTTGGGAATCGCTATTTTGAGAAGCATTCAATTGACTAGCCCTAAGCTTTGCCGACTCAAGCCGCATCCCCGACAGTCTGCTGCTGCTGCTGCCCTGCCGCAGTGACGAGGTAAAGCCAGTGGCAGGGGACCTCAGGATGGTGTTTCAGCTGCTTTCAGCGACTTTCACCAAAGTGCCATGGCAGTTTACATGGCGTGAGGTCACAAACTACCTGGGCTGCTTTGCATCTTGGCTCTTTAGGGCTCTGCCTTCTGGGCCAGGGTCCATTCGCGGGTCCGCTTGGGCTCCAAGGACACGCGTGAGCGTGAGAGCTATGGCTTCCGAAAGAAGCACTGGGCCTCAAGCCTCGAGGATGTCATGTTCAAGTGCAGCCACTTGGAGAGAACCTAAGTGACCCAGAGAGCAACACGTGACTTAGTTGAAAGTGTCTGGTGCCTGGTGCGCGCATCCACTTTGGGGCCCATCTGAGGCATGTACAGGCTGGATGAGCAGAGCAGAGAGGTCTTGCAGTCTTGCTCAGAGATTTGGCCCAGGGGTCAAGTTCTGAGGCTACGCGTTAGACAGTTGCCAAAAGCCCCCGGAAAGGCCCCCAACTCCCCAAACTCCAAGCCCTATGTGGTCACTGAGACGTGTCCGGGCTCAAGCTGTCAGGTATGCAGTTTTGGAGTGCCCATCGGAGACAAGAGCAGTGTGGCTTGGCATGAGCCGCAGAGCTGGGAATTTCAAGCCCGGGCGGATCTCAGGTTTTGGTGCACCAACCAGCTCTTCCCGCCTTCCAAGAAGCTTTCGCACGGGAACTGCTACGGCAACCCAGAAGGCCTCTGGGCTCTGCGGGGCGGGGGCTTTCGGGCTGTTTAGCTGGGGCTTGGCTCTTGGTGCAGGTGCTCCTGAGCTGAACAGGGGCAGCAACGGCCTGTGCAGCGGGCCATTCTGGCAGCCTGGCTGAGAGGTCTTTGTTGTGCAAGTTGGTTTGACCGAGAGCCACGGAGCGGGTGGGTCTGCTTGTTTGGCTGTCCCGTTGGACCGCATGACTTCAGGTGGCCATTGCTCGAAGGCTCGGTGGCCTTGGGAGGCCGGAGAGGGTGATGTGATTGTGCTGCGCTTGGCTGCGGCTTGAGCATCCCAGGATGGCACCGAGGAGCCTTCTACAGCAGCTTGGCCATGTCTGTCTGAGGTGCATTCGAGGCACTGCAAGGTTCCAGAGTCCGCTTGCGCGTCTGAGGTGTCGTGCGAGACGTGGCGCTCCTGGCAGAGTCTCCAGGCTGGGCTGAGACTTGTGCGCAAAGCCTGGCAAATGGCGCAGATGCACGAACGAGACTTCGTTTTTGCTGGCACATATGTTCCTAACTCAACGTGTCAGGCAAAGACGTGACCCTCCAAGAGCACCTTGGCTGAATGGGGCTTGGAGCCTGCACAGGGTTTCCAAGCATCCAAAGTCTTGCAGTTTCTTTTCGGACGTTCCACAACTCAGGGACGGGCTGAAAGTGCACGAGATCAGTACCTTGGCTTGAGGGGCCGGGCCTGAAATCCTGAGGGCATTGCACAAACCCGGCTGTGAGGCGACGACGGCAGCTACTTCTTTGCAGCCCGGCGAATTCTCACGGGGCGTTGAACCGATGCCAGCCCGTTTGAGCATGGTCGCTTGTCGGGGTCCGCCACTTGCAGTAAAGCAGATTTTATGGGGCCGCCGAATTGCGTTTCGGAACTGCAGGGGTGATTCAAATAAAATCTCCGTCGACATGCGTCTCCACTAGGTGGAGAAGAAGGACTGGCAGTCGCACTTCGGATTACTGCAGAGCGAGGAAGGCTCCCGGCAGGCTGGTGCCCGCAATCCGACGGCCTGATGGCAGAATGAGCATAGAGACTGATGTAATAACACACATTGATTGCATCATTGCTGTTAACTGGTCCGTAAACTTACTCTCGGATTTGCCACGCTTTCTCTCGAAGGTGGTGGAGCAGCTGCGCGACGGGGCAGCGGAGCCTTGGGCGAAAGTCGGCTGGGTGCGGGATGTTTGGATGAGTGAGAGGCCTCTACTGGAACACGAGCAATGAGACGCAGCCTTGAGTCCAAGGTCTGGACTGGCTCAGTGAACATCACTTTGCCCCGGGCCGGATCCTGAGCCGAATGCAAAACTGCCGACCCCATTTTGTCGTATTCCGGGCTGCCCTGCTTCATTTGAGCAGAGGTGAAGCAGACAGTGCTCACCACAACCACCACAACCTCCAGTGCCCCGGAGGCGGGGGGACGGCTGAATGGATTCAGCGCGGCCGGTGTTCCAACTGGTTGCGTTTTCCCTGGAGGCTGGCAGCGGCCACTGGGAACAGGCGCCTGTTCCCGGGCATTTCGCTTCCCACATCTCCCCATATCTCCGAATCGAGAATCCGCCCGGGACCCCGGGACGTCCGCCTCTAGCGCCATCCCTGAGGAGAGCTGCGAGTTCAGCTTCCCGGTGCCGAAGCTGCGGGGCCTGCGGAAGTGCCCCTCGCTCCCACTGATCCGACGTGGCCAGCGGATTTTCCCTTCGCCCCTTTAACGCTTGACTTGTATTTTGCGATCCCGTTTTCCTTCCTGTTCTCTTAGGCATGTGGATGGTCCTTGCGGCTGCGGGCTCTGAGGCGGCTTGGAGGGACGGCGAGCGCGCTGAAAAAAAGGGCGCTCTTTCGATTCCCGAAAATCCGCAGCTCTTTTCAGGAGGACTACAAGACGCTCAGGGACACTGGCATCCCGGTCAGACCCAGAGGCAAAGGCGAGACGCCCGCCTATGAGAAGAACCTCTGGGACCGGATGGCATTGGTTTATGTCCCGCATTGGCAGTTCTAAGTCTCTCTCTTGCAGGACTATCGCTACATTGGCATGCCCGGCACGTTGAAGGCCTGCAAGAATGTGCAGGACAACATCTCTGACACAGCTGCTCTTCTGCAATGCCAAGCCAAGTGCCAAAGTTGGCCGCCCATTGTGAGCTTTCCGGCTGTCACATTGAGGTCACCTTCTCCCGCTTCCCTCCAGGGGTCTACGAGCTGAGGCTTCAGAAGAATGGCAGGCTGGATCCGGTGCAGTGCATTTGTGCTGCATGGCTAAGAGAAGCAGCAGCTGAGGAAAAGGCTGCAGACGCAGGTGGTGAAACTCACGGGCGATTGCAAGGTGAAGGCGTGACTAAGCTGCTTCTTTCTTTTTCTTTCTTCCGCCTTGAGCTTTTGCCCGGATTCGCTGGCGGCTTCGCAGGCTGGCTGTGCCACCACTGGCACCTCGGGTGCGGGGGCCGACAAGCCCTGCATTTTTCCTTTTAACTACGCTGCTTGGCTTGACAGACGAGCTGCGCTAGAAACCCGTTTGTTCATGTTTAGTAAACGACCTTGCAATAACACAGGCCTGCGAAAGCTACATGCATGCGTCAGCTCGCGTAAGCGTGTTGTTACTAGTATCCTAGTAAAAGCTGCGCGTGAGCGACTTGTACTGTTTAGTTACAACTTCTGAGGCGGAGCGTGCTCGAAATCCAATGCCTTGTATCGCAGTGCTGGCCATGATTCTAGGTATACAAGGTGTACTTAGCGTACTCCGCTTGTACTGAAAGGATGTGATTTGAGAGCTGGAGCTTTCAAAGTGCAATTCATGTACCACTTCCGCATTGAATTGCACTTTGAGCGTTACGTTCGCGCCAGAAACGGGTGAGCTATCGCTGTGGTGGCGTGCAACAAATTTGCTAAGAGCTTGCGTAAGCCTCGCGTAAGCTCCGTCATAAAACGCCTTTGCGCATAAGCTGGTTGCGTGGGCTCGTAAGCGTTGGCGTAAGCAACTTGTTGTCGTAGATAAATCTAACAGTATTTTTAGCACGGCTCAGATAAGAACAAGCCCTGATGCGCCCTCTCAGACTCAAAAGGAAAGTTCGCGTGCTTCAGGGTACTTGGCCTTGTGATTTGATGCCTCAGGAGGGCATCATCTACCGAGAGTGTACCACGGTGAAGGCCTCTGCAAAATGGTGCGCTACAAAGACGGATGATGATGGCGACTCGGCAGAAGATCTCGCTGGTTTCTTGGTGCCAAGTCCTAAGAAGAGACGCATTCCTCTTGAATCACATAAGCGGACAGCTTTGTAATGCCTCCTTAAAAAAGAGACTTAGGACACTACATCTCTGGCGAGTGGGGCTACTGCGGAGAAGCCTGCTCAGAGGCAATTGATCGTTGACCCTCTCTTCAATCTGTGCAATGTTTGCTTAACGTCAGGCGGTGGTGCAGGAGAAGCTGCCGACTCCAGCCACCTATGCCCAAGTTGGCACAGGCCCCGTCTGAGACGAGTCAGACGAGTCAGACGAGACAGCTGAGTCAGACCTTCCGTGTGCGGTGCGGCTTCTGCCAGGCGTCTCCTGCGGCAAGGAGGCGTACCGCAGTGGGGACTCCCCGGAGAAATGCAGAGAGTGGTGCGAGCAGCGCCTTGGCGTGGGAACCATCTCAATTTCCCAGCCGCAGCTTTAGTTTCCGTTCTGCTGCCGCACTCGCAGTCGCTTGTAGATTTTTGATGATTGTTGCGTTCGCGGATCAACAAATGTATGCCACGGGGTTGCATGAACACTGACAGAACCCCCATTTGGAAGCTTAGTTTACACAGTGGCCAATCCTCAGTCCTGCTTGAATGGTTGAATCCGAGGCATGATGAGTGCAAGGCGTACGTGACCTTCGCAGCTCAGCCGGCTTTAGGAATTCCGTCGTGGGTCTCCACGCAATGCGCTTCAGGAAGACAGCCCTTGCGACAGCTGCCTGGCCTTCACAGCCAACGACTGCAGCTTGGCCATGGGCCGGGAGCGGGGCACAGCGGCAGGCACAGCTTTGTGCTTCCTTGTGCTTCCTTGTGCTTCCTTGTGCTTCCGTGTCTGAGGCGGACCTGCGAACCAGCAGGCCAGCGAGTGCACGGGCCAGATCTCGGCCTTCAACAAGATCCGGAAAGAGGACAGCAAGGCGAGGACGAAACGGATGAAACGGACGAAACGGACGAAACGGACGAAAGACGAGGATGGCAAAGGATGGCGAAGGATGGCACGGGTCGGTTTGAAATGACACCGTGCGCTTGCCAGGAAGCGACCATGGAGGAGTGCCAGGCGTTGGGGCGAGGGGGCCTTGATTTCTAATGTGTGAGTGCTGGCACTGATGCCCCTTGCCATCGAGCCCTGTCGGGAGTCCCCCCTCCCAAAACGGCGAAGGCCAGTAGGCCGTTTCGAGGCGGAAGCGAAGAGGCTCGCGTAGCTCGTAACGTATCGCGAGGTGACCTTCAGCTACGCGAACTGCAAGGACGGCGTGGACGACCGGGACATCACCGTGGGCTTCAGCGCCGCTTTCCAGGGCTACCCCTTGAGCTACTCCGTGGAGCCGCTGCGGCCGCAAGATCGAGTGAAGTGAGGGTCCTCGAGGGTCCCTGATGGTTAGTGAAGCATTTAAAGGGAGTGGGAGGAGTACCGGGAGGTGAGTGGGAACTTGCACCACATCCTGATTGGAGTGCTGGGATGATAGAGTAGATGTGGATTGATATGGAACCTCCGCACGAAACACGACCCATTCCAGAAGTTGTGAAGTGAAAGGAACAGGGCGTGCCCTTTCACTAGGCTTAGCTCGCAGGCTGACTAGCTGGCAGCTGTCAGGTCAGCTGACAGGTTGGCTGGCACTCTTCAGACCTGCTCCCTCGCACCCCATGTGTGTGCCGGGTTTGGACCAGTACCTTTTTGGGTCAATTTCCCACATTCAGCTGGCCAACCTTAGGAAAGTTGCAAAGCCGCAGAGAGCATGTTCAAGTTTGCGATCAGTTGGTGGTGGACACGCCATGCTGAATCACACCTTCCTCAAACATCATCTTTGTTTGTCTCGGGAATGTGGACGAGACTGTCGATTGAGCACTGTGCTGCCATGGCAAGCCAAGGTATAGCGCTGAAGGCGGCAGCAATTTGTTGGGCTGCCGCGGTACACACCGCCCCTCGGCAGCTTTTGAGGCACATCTAGAATGTAGGCAATGCGAACTGAATGGCCTTCACAAAGTTTCAGTGGCAAGACTGGGAGCACGGCATGGCTTTGACACGTCAGAAAGAGTGCAGCGATGAACCAACAAAAGAAGAATCCGCGAGGCGATGTCGACTTGAAGTTCACAGATGCCCAGGGCAATAGCCATTTGACAACACTAGTTGCACCTCGGCTGCACAGGCAGTGGGGTGGGGAGCCTTTGTTCATTCTTTCTACCCAGTTGCCATCCCAGGAGGGCGAGACTGCTGCCGTGGAGGTGACCAACTTCCGCTTCAGCAGCAACTGCCCGGACCCCGGACGTCGACATCGACATCTCCAGACTCTGCACGGGACATGTGGCCAGGTCCCATGAAGAAGGCGGCCAGCCCTGAGCCGTGCAGTGTGACCTTCTTGGACAGGCCTGGGTGCAAGGATGATGTGCGTGCAGCATCTGCGCAGTTGCGAAGATTCTTTGCAGACTGAGTGATTTCGAAGCGCCCTCGATCCCCAGGAATTGCGGCACGGGCGAGAGCTCGGACAAGACGGTGAAATTTACGGCCAGCTTTGCAGATGAGCCGCTGGAGTACAACTTGGAATACGGCGATGAAGGTGCTGGATTCCGTTGATTTGGTCGTTGGGGCTTGGCTCATCGCACGCGGCCAGGTGGCACCAACACGGACAGCTGCGCGGGCACCTATCGTGCCTTGGCGTGTGGAAAGTTGTAGAAATGCACGCTGGGTCTAGTGAGTCTCATGCACGCGCCAGGTGAAGCCTCGATCAGCTTCATGGGCGCTGACACCTTGGCGCAGAGTGTGGTGCTGGTGGCCCCATGGCTGCGACAACCGGACAACCACGCTGCTCTCGACTCAGTTTGCAAGATTTGCTTCCGAGGACAGCAGCGGAGATGCGGTAGAGGTCAGCAATCTGCGCTTCAGCAGGAACTGCCCCATGAAGGACTGGGATTTGATGTCACTTGCCGGAAGGGTGCAGAAGATAGAGAGAGAGAGAGAGAGGGCACAGACAAAGAGTCCAGAGGGGCCATGGTTCTCGTCCCGGCGTAGGAGGTGACCAAGCCAGCCTTGCCTGGTTTGCATCCCGAAGCTCGTCCTGTCAAGTTGCAGCTTGGAGTCAGACGTCCTTCGATTTCGCTTAGGACTGGTCCAAGCCCATTGGCTCGACGATGACGGCGCTGAGTAGTCCAACCAGCAGCGATGGGCCCGTGCAGAACCTTCTGGATGCCTCCACCAACAGCTATGCGAACTTTGCAGGACAAAAGGGAAAGGGACTCATAGCTGTCTCATTTGTCTCATGTCATGGCTTTCAAACAGGCACCGGCTGGGCGTTCCCTGTCTGGGTGGTCTTCGACCTGCACAGCAGCATCCAAGTGGCCGGATTCGAAGTGAAGCCGCACAAGGCAGCCGCTTGGACGGAAAGTCCGGTCTCCCGCACACGCGTCTCCCGCTCACGCTTCTGCCAAGAATTCAAGGCCTTGCGTCTAAGAATTCTCACGCGTCTCCGGGCCTCGCGAAGCGCGTGCTGAGGCGGGGGCGCCGAAGCGTCTGGCCCTGGGCTTCTGCGACACCTCCACGGCCGGGCCGTGGCTGCCGGCGCCACGGCCGCAGCGCGCTTTTTTTGGAGAACGGCATGTTTTTGGCTCCAGTAACCTTCTTGAGAACTGACAGGTGGACACCTACAGGGTGAAGTCGGAGTGGAGCGGGGTGAAGCGCTGGCCCTTCGCCGACTCCTACTCAGGCCGGGCTCGAGCAACGCGCGTTTGGCACGGAGCGGGCATGGCCACAGGCCGCTTCTGGAAGCTGACTTTCCTGGAGTCCTTTGATGGTTCCGTGCCTTGGCTAGCAAAAACAGGAATGTCTTCTTTCGCGAACCCGAAGCAATGAATGTCATCTCCGGCGAAATGGCGCAGGCGCCGAAGATCAACTACGTCCGCTTCTACCCGCCCGAGGGCGGCATCAATGAGCGGCGAGCTGCGAGCCATCCGGCCGAGAGGGGATGGGACATGCGAAAGCGATTCGATTGCGTCTCGCGCAGAGCGTTGCCAAGGCATCTTGCAGACAGTCGATGTGCTGGCCCTTCGGCTCGCATGGGCGATTTAGAACTTTCGACGTCTTCGCTCGTTTCTGCTTTTTTTTTCTTCCTTATTTTTTTTTCTCCCTGTTTGCAACTGTTTCTTACTTACTGGTTACTGTCTATTTTATTTCATTGATTCGTTTGTTCGTTTGTTCGTTCGTCCGTTCGGTTGTTCGTGTGTGTGTGTGTGTGTGTGTGTACGTGTGTGTAGGGGGCACATGGTGCAAGGCGCGTGCAGGCATGTTGTGAATTCTCAGGATGATGTCGTGGAGCAGCCATCGTACGGGAGCTCGGCGCCAAACTACAACTCTGTGACCGTGAAGATGGGCGCCATGGCATTGAGTCTCTGAGTCTTTCTCTCGAGTCTTTTTCGCATTGCCCGCTTTGCTCAAAGTACATGTGACCCAAAGCCGCTTGCCGCCTAAAGTTTGGGAGAAGACTACCCACACGGACAGTAAGCGCGGGGTATCCCTCGTTGCCCACATCCAGGTGCAATGTCTGAAGCCGGGATGCAGCACCTGCTGATCATGGACATATTGGTGTTTGACTCGGAAGGCCGGATAGCCAAGGACGATTGATGAGGAGGAAAGCAATCTTCTCCGAGTGAGCGTTGAGTCCGAACTTGCAGGCAACCAGCTGCAGATCAAGGAGCTGCGAGTCCTTGCTGAGAAGAATGGGGCCGATGCGCTGGCCCCTGGCATCTATGTAGGCACAGTCTGTCCGCTGCCTGCTGTCGCCCATCGGATTTTGGGGCGTCAGGCGGAGCGCGCATGGAGAGCATCACCGACGGCTCCCACACCACGCTCCCCGACGGCGGATGGGTCAACGGCGAGATGGGCCATGACCCCCACATTGGTGCCGTGGCAGAGCCGGGGAATAACGAAGGAATCATGCTGTTTTTCTGTTTTGTTGCCTTGCAAGTGTGTGCCTCAGAAATCCTTGCTTCTTCCGGTTGTGTTTTTGCCTGCGCAGGTGTTCACGGCAGTTTGTCCGAGAACTCCGACATCTTTCAGGTGACCGCAGATGGGGACATCGTCCGCCTGCAGCTGGACTTCTGCCGCAAGAACGATGTGGCTTGGCGAAAGAGACCGGTTGGGGAGAGACTGGCATTCGCCGTTCTCCTCAATAGCACATTCCTAGTAGGTTTTGCACCCATGTTGGCATCAGGTCTTCCTGACTGTTTGCCTGCTCCATAGAACACAGATGCTTTGGAAAAGCGTCCATGCATAGTGCATCCTTTTTGGTCACCTTTGCAAGGCTGGCCTTGGGATACGGCAAGGTCTCTCTGTGCAACAGTTTTGCAACTCACCCAAGGCACCCGCTCTGAAGTTTGTGCGTGGCGACGGCGCGGAGTCTTTGTCTCCGGCACAGTCTGGCATGGAAGGCACGTCCGAGCAGATCCACTTCCCGGCGCCTCCGCAGCTTGGCCAAATGGCATTCGATGGCATTTGGATGGCATTCGAATGGCTTTTCCTTCGAATGGCTAACTGAGGAGCACGCTGCAGGGGCACCGGATGTGGGCCTCGGAACTGGGCCAATGGCAGCAGGGGGACCAGCTGCAGCCTGTTACGGTGCCCGATGGATGGGCCTACAGCTTCCCGTGCCGCGGAATGAATTCGTGAACTTATGAAGTCGCCTTTCGCTTTTTTCAATTTTTCCCCCGAAGTCTTCCCTTTCAGTTCGAATTGTTTCGCGAGCTTTGCGGCTCTGCGCTTCGGTGTGTCTTGCATAGGAGCTTCGCGTCGGGGCAGTGCGCGGCGGCAGTGAAGTCCCTGGTGGCAGCGTCGAAGGCCCTCTGCGAGAAGAGCTGCGCAGACGCCATGGGCTGCCACTTCTTTTCCTACGACGCAGGAAGGGCAAGGGACTGGGGGGCGTATGCGCAACTTGGGATGGAGGATGGCTGCGAAGATTTGGCCATGCACTGGAGAGTTGGCAGGATCGGGCGATTGCAAGCACTTTGCCTCCTGTGAAGTGGACAGGCCCGCTGCAATGCCAGCATGGATCTGCTTGCCAAATCAGCCCTGTTCGGCCACAGCTTATCAGCCTGCAATGGCCCTTGCTTGTTCAGGATGGACACCAAAGGCAACTACATGACATATCAGAAGAAGCTTGCTTGTGCCTGACCCGCAGACAGGCTAAGCTTCAATCTGGGCAACATACGACAGCATATGGCGCCCTCATTCAAATGCCGTCCTCTCGACCCGAGGCAGCACCGCCATTGCCACGGCGCCGGAGGTGGCGCTCACTTCGCCGCTGCCCGGGTTCAAGACGCGGCACCAGTGCCAGGAACGCTACAAAATGGGACGGAACGGGACGGAACGGGACGGAACGGGAGGGTTCAGCCTGGTTCTCTGTCTTCGCACAGCAAACCAGCAAATGAGCAAACGAGCAAATGAGTTATGCCGCTCCTTTTGAGCGAGGGTGCAGTGCACGTTGCTCTCGCCCATGCCAGGCTGCCTGTTCATGGCAGGGCGCCTCGTTTGTGCAATACCGCCGCGAAGCTGCAAGCGGAGTCAACATTGTCACAAGACTTGAGAGACGTTCGACGTTGTTTGAGTCGAAGGGTGACAGAGCTTCAGCGACTGAGGCAAGGATGACGACGACACGGTGTGTAGATGTGGGCTGCCTGGCCTGTCCTTCTACCAGGCCGGGGGATGGCTGCAGTTCAGCACACTTCTAGCACGAGTGCACATGTGCATGTGTGCACTGGCTTCGCTCCTGAGGTGATGGTGGATGTGGGTACCAACCGCAAGCCATACGACAGTCACGAAGAGGCGGGGAGTCTTACTACGACAGATATGGATATCGGAACACCGCAAGTGAGCGCTTGCAGGCTGCTCCTTGCACAGATCTGGAGGGTTGGAGCAACGGCTGGTGTCTCATGGCCCCCCGGCAGCCATCAAGCGATTTGACACTTGCAGTCTCACCACGACGAGCTAAGGAGATTTGTCCTTTGCCCGAAGACACGGCTGCTTCTGAGACCGAGTACTCGGCCTTCGGCACAGGCACTCATGACTTGTGATCCAGAAGTTGCATGCGGGTTAGGGTGGGCAGGCTCGTGTTGAGGATGTTGACTGACAGCGGACAGGCGGCCATTGCAGCAGCAGCATGCTGCGGAAATCCAAAGGTGTGCCCAGCAGCTTGGCGATTTTGAGGTGTTTCTGACCCGTGAGGCACGAATTCGTCAGCTTTTGCCTCGCATGGAATCTCTGAGGTCTGACTGGCTGCCAAGGGCTTTGTACCCGGGAGGCGGACTGTCGCTATGTCTCCTACGACGCAGGAGCGGCCGATGTCGTCGAATGGCCATCAGATCATCAGCAGTGCCATGAGATGGCCCGCAGGCGGAGTGGACAACGGTGCTTGCGTTCGCTACGCCAAGTGCCAGGCAAGGCTTGTTCGCCGGGAGAGCTCGAGGGCCTTGTGTTTAATTGCGCGTGTTCGAAGACAGAACGAGCAGCTAAGTCTGAGGAAGATGCCATGGTGGTTCCACCAGACACCGCCTTCTCCACCTTCCAGCTGCTCAGCTGTTAGGTTTTGCGCCTGCCAGCGACTGGCAAAACTGGGCGGCAAAAGCCCACATCAGAACCGAAATTGCATGAAAGGCCGAGCATGCGAGACGGAGAGATCAAGCTCATGGATCTAAAGACCTTGAGTCTCCGTGTGGGATCGCTTGTGATGTAGGATCGCTTATGATATATTGAAATGGGATAGTGATAGCAACTTGTTTAGATGAATAACACGTGGTGGTATAATTCCTGTCACACTTCATTCACCATTATTCAGAATCGCTTGCTTCATTAAAACGGCATCCTCATCTCCTGGATGTCGAGGCCCATGTCAGCATCGAAATGGCGCTTGCAATAGGACTATGACTGCAAATTGCGAGAACGAACATGTTTCCCTTTTCATTGGACGTATTGGACTTCTCTCCACCTCTTGGGAATATACCAGGATTCTGTCTTGTTCCCTGTCCTTTTCTTTGTAAATCAAGGTCCATCTAATATATCTGGATTCGTTTTTTCGTTTCTAAGGAAGAGCTCCAAGGGCATGGACCGGCCGCCCAGCTGGCGGCTCTTCACCAGCTCTACCTGGCGCCGCGGCGCCAAGAACGAGCGCCGCTTGGAGCGAAGCCTCCGAGGCGAAAGCAAAAACAAAGCCGAGAATACTTTTTCTTTTTTTGTTTTTGATATTCTTTGCTTTCTCACCGGGAACTGGCTGGAGTTGAACTCGGGTTTTGTTCTATGCCGAGAGAGTGTGGATGTTGTCAGAAATAGGACTTGCCCCTTGTATGGTGGATTCACCTTCGCCCCGCTTCAAAAGCATCCAAAATAGGGAGGAAGAAAGAGACGTGAGGGGAGCACAGATGCCGTAAGGTAACTGTTGGAAGATTTCAGACGTGCAGTTCTTCGCAGCTTGGAAGGCATCAATGAGCCAGTGTTGAGACTTGGGGATCCCTACGGCATTGCGCTCCGCAACCCAGCTGAGGCCTCTGAGGATTGCGAAACCATGGAATTTGGTGTGCCGCCCGAAAAGCAGATCTTCAGTGGTGCCGCCTCAGGCGGGTGCAAGAGCCAGGATCCGAGTGGCAAGCTGTGACGCCGAGGCTCCGACGCCAGCAAGGCCTTCCGCGCGGCTGCTCGGCGACGAAAGCCCCGCCTCGCGTGTCCCGCGTGTGTCGCGCGTGTCGCGGTGCGCGTGTCGAGCGCCCGTCGCATCTCAGGGCGCGGGCGCGGAGCTGCGGGGCGCCGACGGGGACTTCGGCTCCAGCGAGGTTTGGCTGGGCGCCAAGGAGCTGGGAGGCGCGGACCGGAGCGCGTCCAAGCGTCCAAGCGTCGGATTCGAGCGTCAAAGAGAAGAGCGTAGCGTCCATGTTGCATTCGCATTCCGGCTTGCAACTTGCATTCGCACTGTGTGGCGAGCTCAAAGAGTCAAGACTTATGACTGTCAGGCGTACGCTGCATCCGCTTCGTGCAAGAGGCTTCTGCCGAGCACACGGCAACGCAGTCGGGCACTGGCTGCCGGCCACTCTCAAACCTCGAGGTGCAGACACTCGACAGTGCACTTGGCAGGCTTCATGCCCTGTGCCGGGTCTCGAAGCAGCCAACCCCATACCTTTGCGCTCCCAGTGCGCGGAAATACCGAGCCAAGGATCGGCGACTTTGAAGGTGCGAATTGGAAGACCGTGGTGAGTATCCCTTGGAGCGTCAAGAAAGACGGAGCCAAAGCCCCAGCGAGAGCCGGCTTGACTTCTTTCCCCTTTCGACTGGACAGCCGGAGTCTATCAGTGCCATGCGCCTGCAGCAGATTTGAGCAGATTTGAGCTGTCATCAAACAACTGGTGTCCAATCAACGCAGTACACTTCTCTGCTGCCTCTGCTGCGACGTCTGATCACTTTGGAGAGCGCTCGATGCCGGTTTTGGCCTTGCGCATTGCATTCGTTGCATTTCCACGTCAGTCGCACCGGTTTCCTTGAGGTGAACAAGTTCTCGAACCTGGACCGCGCCAGCGCCGCGGTGTTCCAGCTGGATGCCTCCCTGGCGCCGCCCAAGACGCTGAGCTGCGTCTTCCAGGTCAACGACCGCCTGCCCCTCGCAGCAAGTGGCATGCTGTCAGGTCTGTCACGGAAACGCATGACATGCATTTGGACGCGTCCTTTAGTCCGAGGAAGTCGGTGCTCTATGGGGGTGTGGACCTCATGGGCCTCGCTGGCATGGGCGAAGGCACTGCAGCTGTGGGTCAGACAGCCTGACTCGAGTCAAGCGTTTCGGGAGTTTTTCTTTGAGCTGAGCAGGTTCTTGAACGCCCAGTAACTCAAGGGGCAACGCTGCGGAAATTCGGGTCCTCCAATTATGAAGCCTCAGGATCCTCTCGAAACGTCTGCTCGTCCGCAAACGCAACAGATACGAATCAGCTGGCGAGGCAACTCGGAGAAGGTGCACGTGGTCAGCTTCACGGTGAAACCAGGCGCTTACCTCGCGATCACTGGCGAGGATGCTGAGGCACGGCGCAAGGTCTCAGGTTCCGAGTCTCCGAGTCGTTTTTTGAGCCGCATCAAAGCGACAGACAGGGAGACTTCCACGACACTGGGGGCTTCTGGGCGGACTGCGGCTCGGTGGCGCCGGCCGCAAATCTTCAGAGCTCTTGGGAGCTCTTCTGCAGCAACAACCACATCGATGCCCCTCGTCGAACCAACAGCCAGCCACCTTCCAAATTGTTTCCGATTTCGAGACTTTGCGCGTTGCCTTCAGCAAGGTGGCCCACCGGGAGGGCGCCGGTGCTGGCTGGGCGCCCGGCTCGGCCAACAGCTTCAAGGCATCGGCCAGCCGCGTCGGGTGTTGAGGGCCTTGGAGCTTTCATTCAAGAAGTTTTCTCTCGAACTTTGGCCCATTTCTTCCCCCAGAGTTGTCTCTTGGGAGCTTGAGTCTTGGGAGACTTGGGAGCTTGCGGCTCCGTTTGAGAGGCCAAGACCAAGCGCATCTTCGGCGGCGCGGTGGACAAGGCCTCGCTGGGCATGGAGGCGGCCAAGTACTGCACCTTCCGGATGCTGCCGAAGAAGGCGTTGAGCTTTCAGACCCTTCGCTCCAAAGGCGCACGGGGATTGCCAAGTGTGTGGAGACATGAGAGGCACCAGCGACCTGCGTTCTGTCGGCTCAGAGGTTTGTATGGCCTCTCAGAGCTGGACATGACGGCCTTCAACGAGCGCTTCCGCGATGCGCGCACCGGCACCCCTGCAGCCGGAAGGGAAAAGGGTGCAACTGCATGCGGGTTTTGCCGAGGTATCATCCGGCGAGAGTGCCAGGATTGCGAGGACACGCACAAAAAGATCTACATGAGGCAAAGCAGGGGGCACCGCATTACCAGCCGGGGCAATGTCGAGGGGTGCTTTGTCGCAGGCGCAAGACTCTGAAAGACACTTGGGATGCCTACTCTGGCATTGTGGTGCGCTGGGACGAGCAAGGCGCGTTTTGGGTACCTCACAGCCATGTGGCCATGCGATGAGTTGCATTCGGGCTGGGCACGGGCAGTGGGGTGGGCTCGTCAGGTATCCACAAGGACTTTGACCTCTATTCCACCTTGCAGGCTGGCACGGAATGATTGGCTCTCCGGGCTCCGAGACAAATCCGAGAAGTCAGGATGCCTTGGACGACCGCAATGCCTGGGCACGCTGTGACGGGGTGCCCACCGAGGACCCGCAGTTTGGTGTTGGGTGCTGTTGGATGCCGTCGGATGCCGCGTGGGTAGACAAACCTTGCATCCGCATCTCTGTAGGACGCAGGCTTTCCCGGTTCGTGCGGCCCGCGTGAGGCGGCACATGCATGGCCCCTGATGTCTGATTGAAAGCAGATGTGCCAGGCACCGACAGAGCCGCAGTGGACGAGCTTGAGCCCGGGGCATGGTAGGCAGAACTACAAGTATGCGGTCTACCAGGCCCACTTGGCTTCGTACTTTGTGGCTGTGGGATTTGCGCGTGTCGTCTTAGGTGGGCCAGCGGATGGTCATGAACTTTGCAAACCACGGGGAAGGACTTTGCAGCACCTCGGATTTTCCTGCCGTCCCCCTTGCAGATTTTAGCCGTCTTGCCCACAGCCCCCACAGCCTCCACATCCAGGATTCCTGAATTGCCCCTACGCGGAAGCCAGGTCAGTCAGACGTTTGAAGATGTAGCTGGTTCCATCCTACAAATTTGTGAAAGAAGGGTGCTCTGATCATTCAACAAAAAGGAGAGGCAGAGGTGGCCCCCGGGCGACTTCGCTGCCCGAGGCGGCGTGCCGCTGCGCGCAAAGCTGGCGGTGGAGTCGGCGGAGGCGTGCCAAGAGCTCTGCGCCCAGGAGGAGGACTCCGGGCGGAGAAAGTGAGAGTTGTAGTAACTAGTAGGTATACTATTTGGTTTAACGTGACATGCCATGCATTTGAAGGTAGCATTCGGAAGGAGCTATGGATTTCAGCCTGTCTTTTTCTAGGCCGCGAAAGCGCCGCGAAAGGTTTGCGAAAGGGGTTATCATTTCTGTGCACGCGAACAGTTTGGGAAAAGGCCACAAGCTTTGTGTTTTTGTTTGCTGACACTGACTGCAAGTAGGGCTCAGGCACGCCTGGCATGGAGCAACTGCCGGTGAGAAAGCTCACCAACAAACACTCAAGAAATGAGGCAGGTATGTCATGAGCTTTGCATTCCCTTTGTATAAGTCCTTGCTTAGAGCAACGGCAGAGAGCCTTTGCGATGCCTGCTTGAGAAGCTGTGGCATTTACACGAGACCCTTGCCAACGTGCACAGCCGGTGAATCACTGACTGGCTAAAAACTCGACGAAACCTCTTTCGTCAAAGGAACCTTTCATGCCGCGAAAGCTCCGCGAAAGCCTGCGTGAAATTGGTTTGGGACCGGAGAGCTGATGGCCAGGACTGCATCTATGTGAGCCATGGCGACCCCAACACACTCTCTTGCATCTTGGCACAAGGCGAAATCATCCAGCTGCTTTGGATGCGCAGCCGCATTGCTACAAGCCTAAGAGCCCCAGAAATGGCAGGATTGATATTCCCAAAGGCAAGTTACTCTTTGTCGTGTTCGTCATGTTTCGGAATGCTGAAACCCAAGAACCACACAGATTCTCGTCAGCCCGAGGCATGCAGTTCAGTGGCGCCTCTTGCGGTTCGCTGCAGTTCCCCGCCTGCGGCGGTCTCTCCTGCGGCTTCCAAACCTGGGCAAAGCAGCGCGATGCCCGCCCGCCCTGGTTTGAAGACTCGCCGATTTGGGTCTCGTCGAGTCTCGGGTGCCAGGATCGCGTGAATTGCGACTTCGTGATGAACGACCAGGTGGTTTCCGCCGGAGCCTTTCCCGCGGCGCGGGGCTGCGTATCGCTGTCGCTTGAGGTCTACTACGGAATCAACATCACGGAGCTCGTGAGCAACACGCCGGGCAACGCCAAGGAGAGGCGGCGACTGAGTGTCGTCAGCAAGCCAGGCAGGGAGTGAGATTCCAAAATTCTATCGCCCAGCCAGACTGCCTCTTTGTCAAGGTGAGTATCTCATTATCACCGGCATCAGCTTGGGTGGTGACATGAAGTTTCAAGGCGCCGGGGGATTGAAGTGAGCCATTTGCAGACGCAACTGCACGACCGCGACTTTGGGCTGATGTTTGGCTCAGGCGGCTTCTGGGCAGACTGTGGCAGTTCCGCCCCGCCTGACAAGCTGGATGACACCTGGGAGTCCTACTGCTCGGCACGCCCGACATGTGACGAATTGTTGTGGAACGAATTGCGCTTGTGGCAAAAAGACGGTGTAGCGCTGCAGGATGAGCCGATTGATCAGCTGCACCAGAAAGGAGGCGGTGATGGCTGGAGGCCGCCCATGGTGAGGCGAGGTGCTGGGACGCGCCGGGTTTTGCCTTCGTTTTCTCATTTCTGATATTCCGGAACCTGCATGCGCACCCAAATGCCTGAAGACACAGTGGAGGCATTGTCAGCGGCCAGTGAGTTTTCAACGGATGCTGATTTCCTGTGCTCAGGAGCACGGGCCAAGCAGCTTTCCCAATCACGCTGGGAGACGATGGCAAGTGGCCTGGCCTGCAAGCAGATCTGCTCTCACAGTGCTACTTCCTCGACTGAGGAAGTATTGCGCTTACCGAGCTGTGGTGGCGCGGATCCGGCCCGTCTGGACCAATGCTTGGTGCAAAAGCGCCACCGTCTTCGACACCTGGCCGGGGATGTCGGGCCTTCCCACGGTGCCTCAGCTGAAGATGCGCACGCTGGGAGCGCACGGGATCCGGATGCCAATGGGGGGAAGAACGGACGGCGAACGGGGTGGATGGGGTCCGTGCGCAGGCGTTCGCATGCAGCAGCGCCTGCACGGGGGACGCACGCTGCCGCTTCTTCGGATTTGGCAAGGTTGGAGGGCGGGTTGAGTGAGCATTGTTGCTTGCGGCCAGGCTATCACGCAGGATGTGCAGCTGGATATGGTCAAACAACCTCCTGTACTCATAGAGAGTTTAGACAACCAGTATAATTATTATAAAGTTTCATGCAAAACGAACCACGAGCATGACCCACACAAGCTTGTCTGACCATGGCACATGTGAGCTATGGGTTGACATCACTGGCCGTTGGGAGCGCAGGGGACTCACAGATTTTCAGAAACGTAAGGGCCACCAATATCTCGGTCCACTTCGGATTGGCCTGAAATCGTCCAAAGCATCGATGCCCATTTTACAATTTGAATCGGAGAGGGCATCAATTTGACCATGGCGTGTGCCAGGACCCCCGGGCCACGCTTCCGCGCTGCGCCTTCTTCGAGACCTGCCGCGAGCGCCGAACCTACGACAAGGGCGACTTCCACGTGTACAAGGCCTCGCCTCTCCCAAAAGGGAAAGCTGAGACTTCCCGTGTCGCATTTCATGACGTGAATCTGCGGCGATTGGTTCGTTTCCCAAGGCGGAGGAAGTGCGCGACGAGCTACAGTGCACCTTCAAGCCAAGCAGCGAAGGCATCCAGGACATCTTCTATGGAGCGTGCCCCTGTGTGAGGATGGCGCAATCTTTTAATATGGGTGGCATGTTTGCAGGTACATTCCACAGAAGGACAGCGTGCACATCACCGTCAGGCATTGAAGGGGCATGAATTACGCACTTATAGAATTTATGCGTGTACTGCATCCATAGATACACGATGTGTACCCGACAACACTATCGGACTTAGAGCAAAACCGAACTTCGGTGTTGGCAAAAGGTCTAAAACATGAAACCGATACCCCTAAGCATGATACCTTACATCTTAGGAGAGAAACGACTTGCACACGTTTGCTACAAAATATCCATTCTTCCACCAAAAGACGCCGCGGTCCAACCGATACCCCAAACGATAGCCATACACATGAAAGCGCTTTTGTACCTGGATGAAAGCGCTGTAAAGCGTTTTGGGGCCCCCATACCAGATCTGAATCTTGAATCTTAGACGCAAAAGCACTTTAAAGCGCTTTAAAGCTTTGCTGGCCAGCTACAGTCACAGTCAAATGTGCAAGTGCGGGCACGGTTAAATACCCCAAAAGTATTGTAAATAAACCAATCAATGAAATTGATGAATGAATAAATAAATGAATAAATGAAGGCATCAATTAACAAATAGATAAAGACATAAATACGTGAATAAATCAACCAACGAAATGAATGAATGAGTGAATGAATGAATGGATGCCTGAATGAATGAATGAATGAATGAATGAATGAATGAATGAATGAATGAATGAATGAATGAATGAATGAATGAATGAATGAATGAAGAAGGAAGGAAGGAAGGAATGAGTAAATGAATGACATGACATGAAATGAAATGACATGACATGAAATGAAATGAAATGAAGTGAAATAACATGAAATGACATGAAGTGAATAAATTAATGAATGAAGGAAGGAAGGAAGGAAGGAAGAAAGGACCGAACGAACGAACGAACAAACGAACGAACGAACGAACGAATGAATGAATGAATGAATGAATGAATGAATGAGTGAGTGAGTGAATGAATGAATGAATGAATGAATGCATGATGTATAAGTGAAATGAATGAATGATGAATGAGTGAAATGAATGAATGATGAATGAGTGAAAAGGAACGACTGCCTGACAGACTGACTGGCTGGCTGACAATCTGACTGACTGACTGACTGACTGACCGACTGACTGGCTGACTGACTGACTGACTGACCGACTGGATGGTTGGATGGATGGATGGATGGAAGGATGGAGGAATGGATGAGTTCAAATAAGGCTCAAATGATCTGAAGGGAATTTGAATGAATGTAATGTAACGTAACGTAACGCAATGTACACGAATCAATGAATCAATGAACTAACAAATTTAAATGAGACAATGGATGAATGCTCGTTTCCCTTCTTACTCACGTGACATCTCAGTTCGTTGAGAGGTTGTGGTAGGTTGACGTGAAGTGCTTGTTGGATGCCCATGCGGAACCGGCGTTGGGAGTTGTGCGGAACCGGTGGTTCAGGCCGGGCACGTACCTGGTCTTCTTCGGGCGCACCTTGGGCCGGGGCTTCTGGGCGGACTGCGGGGGCCTGGCGCCCCGCAACGCCATGCAGGATGCCTGGGAGGCGTTCTGCGGCTCGGAAAGAGTCCGAAAGAGAGCAGAGAAGGCAGAGGGGAGAGCGGAGGGGATGGCCGAGGGGAGAAGACGTGCCTGGCCGAGGGCTCTTCGATGTTTTCCAGTGAGGTGATACGAGCCTGGACACGGTGCACAAGATGGGGGGCGGCACTGGTTGGCGCACGCCGGTGGTTTCGGCGGACGATGAGCTGGTGGGCTTCGATGGCAAGGAGACTGACGAAGTGGAACCCAGTCCTGGCCCGGCGCATTTGCGGCGTAGAGTCAAATCGTGAGTTGCGGATCCGTTCCACAAGGATCCATTTTAAGAGCACACTGGGGCTGCCGACATTTGGCAAGCATCCCAACTGAACATGCAATTGCATACATGGGCATGGCATTGCAGAGAGCGAGAGAGAGAGAGATACCGTATAGAGAGAGAGGAGAGGAAGAGAGAAGGAGGGAGCTTTTTTAATGCCCGCACTCGCTACCAAAATGGGACCAAGTATCAAGGAAACCATGACCATGACCCACCCATATGAGCCCGATTGATAGCCAGGAGCACTGCGCTTTCCGGCTAAACCCTCACGCTCTGGCGTCCGCGCCGGAAGTCACTTGGCTCAAAATTTGTCCAAATTGCCGCTGTATGCGGGCACTTTCTCGATCGTCGGCCTCGCGGCCTCGCGGCTTCTCTCGGCCTCTCTTGGCCTCTCGGGGGGTTTTCCGCAGGTCACCCCGGCGTTGCTGGAGCCCATCTACACCCGGGCGCTGAGCTCCGGAAAGCGCTGGCTGCGCGGCCCCGGCGGCCCGCAGGGCAGCGACGTGGCAAAGGGCGAAGGACCTCGCGGCAACTTCGCAACAGCAACTGGTCACGGCAACTTCGTAAGCGAAGCGATGCGGGGATGTGAGATTTGGACTTCGACGCGGAATCCCAACGACGCAACGGCCCTTCTGCGAATCACGACTGTATCCTCTGCTGAGGCCTTTTTCAATTTGTGCTTGGTATTCTTTTGGGGCTACTCCGGGAATATGGTCGATCCATTCCCACCCCTTGATCACTGAACATGAGGGAGGGATGCTTGCATCAGGGCCCCTCGTCACCTTCTGCCAGACTAGGTTTCCAGCAAAGAAATTTTGCCTATTCATGGTTGCTGAACAAATTAACTTTCATTTGTCCGCCTCCCGCAAAATCATCAACATAGCTTTAGTTGTTGCGTCTAACATCCTTGCATTTCTGGATAGTTTTGGAGCATTGCTCCGCTAGAGTGAGCCATCCAAACGCAGCTAAGTCCATCCAAGCACTCGCAACGCGTAGGCTTACATGTTCAGGTAATTGCAAAATATCCTGTTCCAGGTCCCTTGCAACACCTTTGAAAACACAAAAACAGCCCTTGAAATCGTAAGAATACGGTTTGCACCTTTCAGGTATCTACCAAGGCCAATGTGCGTTACGTTTTGAGACCAGTCCCCACCTTTTAAGGAGTCGAGATGTTGATCCCTCACATTGTAGGCACTCACCGGAACTTTTTCCCATTTCATCCCTTTCATGCCCAGACAGCTGACGTTCGTGCGTGTGTGCAATGCTGGCTTGTGCAGAGAGAACGCATTAGGCTCATCGTGCTTGCCGTTTCTGAAGCCACGCAGTGTTTTGGGGAATTCTGCAATTCTGAACAAACTTGTTTGAGAGCACGGGCTTTATTGATTTCCTTAGTTCCTGGCTTTGGAGGCAAAAGCAATGCACTCTGGCTTTGGTTGGCTGCTGTTCTTGGGAGTGTCGCCAGTGCCTTGGCTGAAAGCTCTGAGCCTTGCAGGAACTTACCTAGGGGGGAAGTACGAGGCGGGCACACGGCAATGGCCGAAACTGACCGAAACTGACACTTGTTTTCCCGACGTGTCGAGGTGTACCTGAACCAGAGCCTGGAGGATTGCCAGACGCTCTGCAGTGACCGCCGCTTGGCTCAATTTGGATCGCGTGAATCTGCGCATGCAGGCGCGTAGTGTCGGCATAGCTTTCAGGTGAGTGGTGCACGGGCTTCAACTACAAGCACACAGACTCTTATTCTACGGTGCCAGATTGGAAGGCTGTCAACCCAACTTGAACAGTCACCACACTTTGCAGAACTGCCGGGTCGCAGTTTGTGGCTTGTGGCCACACCGCGAGCAGCAGGCAAGCACGTGCCAGCTGGTCAGCCAGCTGCTCGCAACCGAAACAGGCGAGGCTTGTGGGCGAGATAACGTGTCAAATTGCTGGCAACAGCACGCAGCTCAGGGGTTACCAATCTTGACTCCTACCAGAAGCAGCAGCGGTCAGGACTGATTCAATTTTGCCGTTTGTGTTTGGCAAAGCATACTGCCGAACCTGCAATCTGTCGGCCAGGACCTGTTACCGCTCCCTTCGATGCGACGTGTGGAGCTCGAAAAACTGAACTGACGGGGAGTTGCATCTGGCCCGTACCCCCTTTTGGAGCGGGTACACCGAGCTAGCCAAGGACCACAACGACCACAACGATGAAGGCCAGCGTATCACCTCTAGCCTAGCTGGAACAATGTTTTCCCTTTTCGGAGATGGGACACACAAGCTTTGGTTTTCGAGTGGCACAGAACGCGAGGTCTACAACTTCACCCTTGTGGGACAGGGTATTTGCGCCAGTCACGCGGTATGAGTTGGAGGGGGTGCTGGGAGTTGCAGGGCGGTGCTGGGTGCGGGGCGGTGCCAGCGGGGTGTTTCTTCCGGCGGGCGAAGGTTTTTCGGCCGAGGCATGGAGCGGCTGTTGCACCAGCCGGACGTGGGCTCCAGGGAGACCTGCCAAGAGATTTGCAACCGCATCCCCAAGTGTGCCGCGGTCGCGATTGGTCTCGTCTACTCTGCGCTGTTGCGTGTGGAAGGCGCCGTGTGCCGAGGCCATGCCTACTCCTACTGCTCAGAGTCTTGGCTGGGAGGTGGGCCTCGCGGGTACACTCTGACTTTTCGACGAGCAAATTCAGTGACGCTCCTCCCACAACGTCTTGCCGGAAGCCTGTCAGGACGCCTGTTTGGACGTTAGGACGCCGCAGGAGGGAGGAGGAGGGGAGGAGGGGAGGAGTGAGGGGCCGCAGAGATGGAGCTGACAAAGACTCTTATACCAATCAAAGGCTTTGTGGCGATGCTTCGAATCTTCAGCGCCTTCAAAGCACTTGTAAGACTCTAAGACAGATTTTGTTGCTGGGAAACACCGCAATCATTGCCGACGAGGCCAAACTTACTCAAAGCAAGTCAGCGAAAGGCAGAGACAGCCAAGGCGGCGTTGGCGGAAGTTCGTGGGCTTGACAAAGGCCCAAGAGCGCGCCCCTTCAAACTTAAGCAGACACCACTGAAGTTCCCAATACGACGCGTTTTCATGCGTAAGCTTTTTGCCAGCCGCTGGGAAACGGGCGATCGGCTTGTAAAGATGATTGCAACGTACACCTCTATGGATTTGGCTGCGTTCTTCCAGATGAAGTTGCAGAGGAAGCAGTTTTACCCACCGGATTCTCCAGTAGTGAATCAGGAGGAAGATGAAGGTGCTAATTTTGAGTGCGAAGAACATTTGGTGGGCTTTGTTGTTGCGTATCACCCTTTTCCTGGCCAGAACTTTTCACGGAGACAACGCAGACTAATATGATGTTTTGATTGCAAGGACGCGTGATATCCAGCTTCTGGGTTGCGAGCACCGTCTCAAACCATTTTGCATCGAAACGGATGGCGGCGGCAAGCTGGTCAAGGTCGCGTAAGCTGAGCAGCGCACGTGATTTGGCAGGCTCTGTGGACAGAGCAAACTGAATACTCAGCGTTGTCGGACTGGGGCCATTGTCGTTTAGGGCGCAACATTATACCCTCTTTCCTATTGCCCCATCCTCCACCCACAGTCAGTTGAACCTTTCTAGTGGAAAAGGGGCTTGCCCATACTTTGTTTAGTGTTTCCAATTCTGAAATTCGTATTTTCAAAACTTTTTCTCAGATTCCATGTAGTCAATGTAGTCTTGTCAATTCTAATTGTAAACGCGCGTTGCCCGCGGCCCAGCCGAGCGTGCAGCGTCCATGGTTCGACTGCAAAAGCAGAGCTGGCCGCAATTGGGGAAGGGGAAAAGCGAAGATTCCCTTTGGGGAATTTCGATCTGAGCGCCCTTGGCCCCCTTGGGACCGAGGCGAATTTCGCATTGGCGCTTCTTTGCCGAACGAAACTCTTGAAACAGATGGCGAAAAGCAGGCGGATGATTGCATCTAAACAGCCCCGAAGAGCGCAGCAAACGGCAACCCCCCAGAGCACACGGCCGTCAATCTCGCCAAAAATGCCCAACTGCACGCCTAGCACCCAGCTGTCAATCTCGCAAATCACCTTCCACTCTTCACTAAAAGGTTCCCCTCTTTTTTTAGAGGTGAGAATTATGGACCATCTCAATTAAGCAAACCAGACACTTTGGCGACCGCTGCTGCCCAGCAGGTATCCAACATCGTTTTAGTGAGCTTGGGTCCCTCTTGTTTTCTCTCTTTATTTGTTTCCTCCTCGACTTCCCTGTTCCCCGCTGTTTCCAGTTTGTCCTCCCGTCTACAAATGCGTATCCAGTGCTTCTCGTTAGTTCCAATTCATTTCATCCATCCTTTTTAGTTTTCTCCTTGCTTTTGTTCCTTCCGTTTTCAGTCAATGCTGATTTTTTGGAGTTTGCTCACGTTCGCTGCAAGCTCGACTTTTCCACGATCCTTGTCAAGCATTTAGAGCCCTTCCCGGAAGATTGCCATTGGCCAAGGATTCGGAGATTTCCGGCTGCGTCGGATTCTGTGGTCTCTACACAGGCATTGGCTGACTTGAACATGCAAGACATCACGCCTGCCGCCTGCCTCCATTCTCGGCCTTGCTGCATGTGGTTGAAGCCCCATGTGGCAAGCAGCGAACAAGGCTTACATAGGTTTGAAAACCAGTGTTCCAACTCGGCTCTATATACAACCGGTGCCAGGAACCGTGCACCATGCGGACAACCAGAACACCAGCAGCTGCTGGGCCAAGACAACTTGCCGAACGATCGTGCTCGACACGCCCAATGCCACTGTGGCGGCTTGGCAAGTTCACTCCCATCAGGGATTCTCCTCAAGAGTCAAGTCGAAGTCAGACAAAAGCAAAAGCAGGGAGACTTGGAGGCGAGAAAGACGTGATTCCTTGCGTGGCTTTGGGCATCGTCCCTTCATATCTGGTGATAACTCCATGATTTAGGCAAAGGGGCAATGCACAGAGTTGACAAAAAGGCAGATATGGAACAAAAGGCTACACTACATGGCTCCACTTGATCCTGCGGTTAGTGCGGAAGGATGTCTTGAACGAGGGTGCACGATATGCATTTTGCACCTTGCCAATCCGAGGCAGGAGAGTGGAAGTCCAGCCGAGTAGTGCCTGGTTTCGTGGGCCGCAACTACCTTGTGGCCACTTGCCGTATCTGCCAACATCGCATGCAAGGGTTTGCATTTGCAACAATATTCTGACGTTCAGTTCGTATCCCTGAGGACAAGCGCACGGGAGGCGCTGTCACCTGGGAGGTGCCGGAGGGGACCTTCATGGTGACCATAGGCGTGGACCATTGCTTGGGCAGATAAAAAAGAACCAAACAAAACAAAAAGCAAAAACGGATAATCGTTGGATATCGAAGGGAATATGAACTGCGAGTTGTGCGTTGTGCGATGTGGAGCGAGTGTTCTGAGTCAGCCTGGGCTTCGAATGGACTTGTCAGACACCCGAAGCAAGTGGAATCGGCCCCAGCCAGGCTACACGTCCTATGCGAACCGCGCCTCCAACGCACCGGTGACTATCACCACAGGCGGCAGGCAGACAACCGTCCGGGTGAACCAGAAGCAAGGCCCGGTGAACCGTTGGGCAACACGCCGGGGGGGAGAGTACCAACACTTAGGGACCACTTTTGTCATCATTTGAAGCCAGACACAAGGAGACAAGGAAACGACTGTGAGTTGGGACAGCTTGGACTGGGTCGGGGAAGGCCGAAGCAAGCTGCTGGGGAAGTTCACCTTCCTGAAGGGTGACACCGTGCAGATCGGCACCTTCGGCGCCGACGGCAAGGCCGCCGTTGAACACCCGAATTCGCCCAACCCTCGAACATCTCCTTTCAAATAGGCCCGCTGGTCAGGTGGTCGCCGACTCGCTGCGGCTCTCCTCCTGCGCCGACGACCTCAACTCGGAGCTCGAGTCGCCCGACGAGGCGGGGTGGCGGTGGCTCAAGCAGAAAGTGGAGAATTTCAGAAGTGCCAGGCACCGGAGACGGAGTGGCTTCTGGTGTTCCGCCAGACCTATCCCAGCATCTTGGCTCACAACTGCTTGGAGCCAAATGAAAACGGAAATGCGGACATGCCGACGAGGGCTGTCCAACATGAGATACTTGGCGCCTGAGCCCGCCAGGCCTGTTCCAGAAGGGCCAGTGGTCTCTCAACGCCAAGAGCCCTGACAGTGATAACTTCGCACTGCTTGATGAGCTGGAGACATTCAAGATCGATGGCGCAGCTCGGCCTTTTGTTAGCGGATGATACGGCAGCTTTTGTCAAATTTCTCTTCCGAGGTCTTTACCTTCAGATTGCGCTGGCCCAAGGACCGAGACCCGTGCCCATGGCCCAAAAAGGATCCAGCAGTGTTTGACCGTGGAACGTTCCGTCGACCTGAAGTCCAATGTTATTTGGATTGCGACCAATTCACCGTGTTTCTGGCTATCGCCGCCAGGAGCCGCAGCCGGACCAAATCTGGCGGCAGACCAGCAACCCCGTGACCGCAACTCATGGTGTGCCACTCAGGGTAAGCTTGGAAGCTGGAAACAGGAAAAGCACCTAAGCTGGAAGCTTTTGATCTCCATGTAGGTAGAGGGCAAAGAGTCGGCGCTCGAGCTGCGATTTCTCCAGGTCGGGTGGACGGCTATCAGGCCGTAGATGCACCCCATACGGCCATGGGTGCCTCATCTAAAGGAGGGCCACGGTGCCATGGTCAAAAGCATCAAGCAGGCTGCCACAATCATAGGGCAATCCAGACTTTCTGAGTAAACAAGAAGCCATGACAACTTGCAGCATGGGGAGTTTTGGACCACGGAAGTGGGGCCGAAGCATGGGGCAATGTCTGCTGGGCTGCCTGGCCATTCGGACCTAGGATGGGGTGGCCTACGCCACGGAACTGGCACCGCCTTGCTGGATGGGTCTGTGTCAATGGAGGGCCACCACGCGTAGCCCGGCCGATGCCGCGCTACGCCTTGACTCCTTGACGTCTTGTCGGCTCTTGTCGCATACCTTGCTGGCTGTTTAGAGGTGACCTGTGCGAGGTATGCAGTTGGCCTCATGACGCAGGATGGCAGCGCCATCCCAGGCTCGCGAGAGCGAGAGCGACGGTGTGGCAGTCCTGGCCCCTCGCCCCGTCTCGTAGGTCCTGGTGAGCCGGTGCAGCAGGTGGAGCTCTACGCAGCTCGTCATCTTAAGTCTTAAGGGAGCAGTGGATCCCATTGGTGCCGATTGGATCCAGGTGGAGAAGTTCAAGGAGATTGAGGTGCCAGATGAGGCAGCGCTGGGCAACGAGGCCGAGCAGCGATCGATGGGCTGACATGTGCGCTGTGCCATGCCGCCAGGTCGTCGAGCTCCGGGGACAGTGCCGCATGCTGCCGCCCATCCGCAGGGGCACCCAAAGGGCTAGCGCCTTGAGCGCCTTGGGACATCATGACTCGAGTGTCGACGTGTCGACTTGTTGACGTGCAGGCGCTGACGCTCCGGGTGCGGAGTTGGTTTCGGAGTCCACCGAGCCGCTTCTGGGCTGCAAGCTGAAGTCATGAGCCCACAGCATCTCTTGTTTCACGGTGGCGAGGGCCTGGCAAAAAGCCTGCGTTGAGGTCGCGTGACGTTAGCCGTGAGTGCCATGTCTCAGGTGGTACGACGACTGTTCCTGCCTTTGCTCCCAGACGGTGGGCTGCCGCGCGCTGCTCTACCGAGACTCCACAGGCCACAAAAGCCGCGGTCAAAACCTACGAAAGAATCCCACTTATGGCCTTGGCTGGTTTGTAATTTTTGGATTTACATACAGCCACTTCGGAGCATGATTTACTTGTGCGGAATCTGTGGCAGTTGGATTTGTGCACCTGGAAACCGGTTTTCGAGTGGATGCGGTCAGGCCTGTGCCAGCTCTTGGCACAGCCGTGGAAGCACAACTACTTGCCGCCTGCAGCAGGCCTCGGCACGCAAAGGGGAGAACTTGGATCTCAATGGCTATATATATATACACATATAAATATGGCAGCCTCCCCATGGCTCTACGCGTTTCATGCATTTGTCTCGTGTTCTCTGCAGACGACGACATTGTGGCTTCTACCAAGCTCTGCGGGGATCCGCAATGCCCGTATCGCTGCTCAGCTGTCCTTCAAGCAGGTTTCGATTCAGCGCAGGCGCTGAGTGTGAGAGAGGGAGGGACTGCGGAATTCAGAGGTCCGCGAATTCAGAGGTCCGCGGGAAGCCGAGTGCCCTCTTCGAGCTGAGGCTACTTCATGCTGGAGGTGGTGGAAGCTGGGGACGCCACGGGCTGGAAGCTGGCGGAGCTGGAGCTGCGGGGCCGCTTCGGGAAGATCGCCGCTCGGCAGGCGTAA